AATTTTGATACAATTAATTAATAGGTCCGATTCAATGGCCACTCTCTTTAAGTGGTCAGAGAGAACACTGGACATTTACGGTGTTTTCTTCATTAAATTGATAGTTCCCAACGACTAATATTTCCGGTAAATCTTACCCAGTATTGTGAATGGAGCACCATAAGTGTCCCAATTGGACAGTTCTTATGTAGCTATTAATGAACCAATTCAACCACAAGCTCAAGCTTGTGGTATAAAAGAATAATTCATTAACAAATGATGTTAATTAGCTTGCAAGTTACTCCATAAATCTTTCTGTATTTTCTAAGTCCAAATAATATTTATAATTAATATAGATATATTTATTTAAAGATCAATTATTGTAATTTAATTGCTATGTTCTTATAAATAATAATTTCTATATTAATTAGTATTATTTTTAAAAAAAAATTAAATTGACATTAGCAACACTTATAAGTGTTGGTGCCATGCTAATATATAAATGTGGCGAAATTAATGCATTTACCCCATTTATAAGTGTGCCTAAAATATCCATTTGTTGCACATATAAGTGTGGCAAAACAAAACAATACCCACATACTCCCTCCGTCCCAAAAAGATCTTCATGTTTTATTTTTTGCGCATCCTATAAAACACTTCTACATACATCTAAAATGCCTAAAATTTACCACATTTCTCATTTATTGTGGGTAAAAGTTGTTTTGAAAGTTTTTTTGCATTTGAGACGGGATAGAAGTGTTTTATGAGATGCGCAAAAAATGAAACAGTAAGGTCTTTTTGGGACGGAGGGAGTATGTAAGTGTGGCTAATATACTCATTACCCACACTTGTCTAAAAGTGCGGCCAAAATTTTCCCACATTTACGTAGCAACACTTGGTGCATGTGTGGCAAACTAGTTTTCCACATTTATAAGTGTGGCAAAAACCAGTTTTAAGTGCGGCAAAAGACCAACTTTCTTGTAGTGTGGTTGTGGCCCAAGAAAAGTTATTTATATTCTTGCACGCCCTCGTTTACCACGATTGCTCGTCTGGAAGTCCATACCCAGCGGTTCGTGGTCCTTTAGGTGTTGGCACTCAAAAAAATCAAGGGAATGAGAGTACATTTGCAAGTGGTCAACCGGTTAGATTCAAAATGGTCCGGTTGTCCACTTGAGAAGAGTGTTAAAGTGTATCCCCCTCGGAAATTCAAGAGTAAAATAATCCGGTATATAAGCACTTGAGTTAAACTAACTAATCGATTGGATTCAATCTTTTAATGTGGTTCAACCCAAGTGTCTTATTACCCATCTGGTTATCCATACCCATCCCAAATTCTATCAGTAGCCACCCACTCAAGTGGAGAAAAAAATAATAATGGGTGTAAATAACAAAAATAGTGAGATGGGAAAAATAGTTATAAAAAGTAATAATAATAATAATAATAATAATAATAATAATAATAATAATAATAATAATAATAATAATAATAATAACGATGATGATGATCATAATAGTAGTAGTAGTAGTAGTAGTAGTAATAATAATAATAATAATAATAATAATAATAATAATAATAATAATAATAATACTCCGTGATAATAGTAATAATTGAGGTAGGTTCTCTCATTGTTTTTAATGAGATTTCTAATCACCAGATGCGCTACCGTGTTTTTAGCCTAATCATTGATGACATATTGAGTTTGGTGAATGATTTTGTTTCAGTTAGTTGGTTTTTTGTTTAATGGGAAGGTAATTTCCCGACTAGACGTGTTATTGATTGATATTATTCCATTTGTTTTGATTGATACATCAATAAATTGATGCTTTTGTTGGTCAAGCAAAATAATAATAATAACTAACAACAACAATAATAATTATAATAATAATAATAACAGTAATAATAAGGCCATGTTGATCCTTTTTCTATATTTTACTCTTAGTTTAAGGCCCTGTTTGGCATCAGCGTCAGAGATTAGCGTTAGCGTTTTGAAAAAGTTATCCGACGGTAGCCTTTTGCGTTAGCGTTTTCAGAATTAATCTGCACCGTCAAAATTTTATCCAAAACGCTAACACTAATCGAAAACGCTGTTACCAAACAAAGCCTAAGTCTTTTTACTAAGAGAGTAAAACCAAAAGGATAAGCTCTTTGGGTGATTGTTGTCAAGGAATAAATTCAATCAAAAGTTTAAGTTTGTAGTTGTGGCTTAAGAAAGATTATTTATATTCTAACACGCCCCTCACGTGTGGGCCTAACAATTGGGCTAATCAGTTTAAGTTTATATCAATTTGGATTTATACCGTTTTGGGTTTTTATCAATTCAGATTTATACCAGATTCAGATGAGAAGATCCCTTGGTATATACTCCGTATTAGAGTTTCTAATGTTAGCCTTGTGTGTAGCCTCCCCTCCTTGTGTGTATAAGGGGTATATATACACTTGTCTGCAATAATGAGTTAGTATATCCATCAATGTGTGCTACGATTTCAAAATAAATTATATATATTCTGTATAAAAATAGACAAACACCTTAGTTTAAGTGATAAAATACAGAATAAAAGATTTAAACATGAAATTAGTTGTGCGTATATTTTAAATACGCTTTCCCAAAAAAAGACATTAGGTTTGACTAGATTTGAGTTTAATTTGTTTTGAATTTGATGAATATTGGGTCTAATAAATTTTGGGTCTAATCGGTTTCGGGTCTAATCAATTTCGGATTTAATCGGTTTGGGTTCAATCATATTTGAATCTAATTGGGGTCCGAATGCATTCAGTTTGGTTTTGGTTTGGATCATTTCGGGTGTTCGTGTTTAATTTGGTTTTCTAGTTTTTGGGTTATTTCAGGTTCAATTTTGGATTATTCGGTTCGAGTTAGCGGGTTCGGGTCTATTTTTCCAGGTCTACTCATGTGCATGCGTAGTCCTTTTTTGAGTTTTAACCTAGCTAGGTGACGCTAAGTTTCAAACCTGTGACTTCTTAGTCAAGCTAAGAAGACTCCGATACTATGTCAAGGAAGCAACTTAACTAAAAGTTAAAGCTTGTGGTTGTGGCCCTGAAAAAGTTACGGAGTATTTATATTCTAACAATTGTAATGGTAAATTAAAACATCAGCTTTAATATCGCTCCATGCATCGAAATTTTAAAGCCACAAACTTTTTAAAATTTATATTTATCACATTAATTAACCTACAAAACTAGCGGGCACTCACAACTATAATAAGTATAGAGCCTTTGTAAGTACTATATGTCGACTTTACTCTCTGCCATAAATCTGCGACGATCAAAATCTAATTTAATTATACCTTCTCGGTAACTGTCCGGTCGAGCCTGAGAGAGGCCTAATGAATGAGGCTCGTCTCTTTACATTTAATTACATTATATTTTTCAAGTCTATTTGTTACTCATTTCCATAAGAATTTTCTTTTAATTCCTCGATCAACAAAATCTATGTTTCAATGCCCAATGAAATTAAATATGAATTTTTCTTTGATGCCTTTACAATTGAGAGGGCATCCATACCCCTCCCCTCATTTAGTGACATTTGTACCTCTAATGCCACCTAATAATGCATAAACTTAATTAATAAGTTCCCTTTGTTTTTTTCAAAATTGCAAAATAGCCTCAATCTCAATCCAAACTTAGTGTAACCTACTTCACTTCCTTCAAATTGTTTTATCATTCTTTTATTAATTATTTTAGTGTTTCATTTAATTACTTCTTATTATTTACTTTCCATGGATAAATATTATTTTAATAATAATTATTTAATTATTTCAACATATTTATTTCACCTTTTATAGAGAATTAGTAATTACTTTAATTTTCCTGATCATTGTTTTATTAATTGCTGTTTTGTTGAATTATTTTTCACTGAAAGAACCTAAAAGTATTGGAAAAAATAGATTTAGAAAATATTAAAGGGGGTTGAAAACATTATTTAGAAAATATTGGAGGGGGTTGAAAAATAAGGAAGAGTTGGAAAATATTTTTAAAAAGAAAAGTGGTGAAAAGAATATTAAATTTTTGAAGTTTTAAACCTTTAATAAAATAAATAAAGCTTTATTTATTTCAAAACATTACCTCTTTTTTCCGTATCAAAAAAATTCTTCCCATGACTTTTTTGTCAAATTTTTAAAATATTGACCACAAATTATAAAAAATATACATTAAAATATTATATAAATTTCATATCAATAGATTTATTTTTAAACATAGTTTTAAAGTATTACTTGGTATTTTTATGTAATCATATATATCTATACATAAATAAAGACATTGATGGTCAAAATATTACATTAGAGATTTTGGAAAATCAATGTATATTTTACTAAAACACAAGTGATTTTCCAATGTAGGACTTAAATTTTTTTATTCCCTAAATAGAACTTAATAATGACTAGTAAGAAAAATAAGGTCCAAGTGATGTTGGACATTTAGTTGAATAATGACTAATAGATAATGACCAATGATGGTCAAAATGGGAAATAAAAACATATGGTCGTATATTGAAAAGAGCCCGGTTCCATTGCCACTGGAATCCAGTGGCCATAGAATTGGGCTCTATTGAAAATGTCATTATTTTTTTGGTCATATTTGGTAAATTACCCCTTTTATAATCGAAAAAACTACTTTACTATCAAAACATACGGCAAACTACTCACAAAATCTCTCACAAACCTCATTCTTAAAGCTACTCACATAGTCAACTGACAAAAAATGGAATTGAACAGATGCCCATTCAAAATATAGGATATGCTTGATCTGATAATTGAAATACAAGCGTAACTGCAGAGCACGTACACAAACATAGAATTCATACTATACTATTTAACTCAATTTAGTAAAAATGAAGGGTGAGCTCCATATCCTAGATGGGGCCGTATGGTCAGTGAGAGAAGGTAAACTAGACTCAGATCGCGGGCTGATGACAAAAAGTAGAGTCTGTATAGTCCTATGTATGGTATGTTTGTCTCTCAGCGCATGCAGTTGCGAGGAATCAAAATCGTCGGGTTTATCCCAGACCCTGAATATGCATTTCTTGCCTTTGTCAACTGCGAAACGCCCACCGAATACATTATATTTCGGTGGCTTTACATGTAGGGTCGTAGTCGGGGGTGAAACCACGAGAGGGCAATGTGCAGTTGAGATGGGGGCATGTAATCAAAACCTGCTTATAGTTGGATTTCTGCCGGTGAAACCTAGCGCGAAAGCTCATGGTTAAGATTACCGTGGTGGCGTAATTGTCGTCTTTTACTGGAAGTGGCACGTTTTGAGCGCGAAGGCTGATTGTGACGTCGGAAGACTGGTTGGGGCCCAACGACGAGGAGGGGCTGCCGCGGATCGACGACGACAGCAACCCCGACGCAATATTGATTGTCTGTTGTTCGGATGATGTCGGCGCCGGCGCCGGGTGGACGACTAGACTAGAAGAGATGTTGACCTGTGAATGGCCGGAGTCGTCGTAGTCGAAGAATATGGTCTTCTTCCTGTTAGGGTTGGAGACGTTGAGGGTGAAGGTGAAGTCGGCTGTTAAAAGGCTTTGGTCGGCAGCGGCGTTTGGGTACAACACCGCCTTGGTCACGGTGTATTCCGGCAGCTTCGGACTGCGATCCGGGTTGAGGGCCTCCAACACCCCAACGATAATGCCGACAATAGCACAGATGAGAAGAAGAGCGCCACAAGCCATGACACACTCCCATTTTAGATTGCTTTTTTTCTCAGACGGCGAGTCCGCCATTATAATTAAAATGTATAGTCTAATCCTTTTATCCTTTATATATAAAAAAGAGTGTTGGGTCTCTAAAACTTGACATGTAGCGTGCTTATGTGGCTTTTTTTTAACACTTAACAGGCCACCAAATTTTTCTTATAAAATTAAAAGTTGGATAAGAAATATTTGAGTAAACTTAAAAATGGAAAAAAGTCTTTCTTTTTATGATAATATGTTGTCCTAATTCTATACTCCCTCCGTTTTTAAAAAGTGTTCCTATTTTGACTTTGTGTAAAAATAAGGAAGTGTTAAATTGTAGTTGACTTCCAATTTTGCCCTTGATGTAATGGTAAAAGTAAGATGTGATGGATTGAGTATTAGAGAAAAAGTATGATGTGATAGGTAGGTTATGAAAAAGTAAGGGTAAAAGTGGTTTTTTAAAAGAAAGTGGAAGTGTTTTGTTGGAAGTAAAAAAAATGAAAGAGGAAGAGTTTTTGAAAACGGAGGGAGTACTTTTTTTCTCTTTATTTATTACAAAAAATATTAATAAGAAAAAATATACTCTCTTCACCCATAAATAAATTTTATATTTCTTTATGATGCATCTAAATAAATGAAGTTAGTTTGATAATATTTATTTAAATATTTACACCTAATAAATAGAATATTTTGTCACCTATAAAAAAAATTTGCATTTGTTTTAACACCTAATATTCCAGCTAATTTAGGACGTATAAAATGTGAAATTATTGTTATGGTATGAAATCTTTGAATAAATTTAATTATGAAATAGGAAAATTCATTTTTTATATTAGTATTCTTTCCCAATTTAATATTTTTTACTCTCTTCATTTATAATTACACTTTTAATTAATTTTAAAACTACATAGTTAGAATATATTTTTTCTGATTTGATTTATCACTAGAGAAATTAATTGTGTTTATAGTCCTCAGATGGTTTTCTATATAAATTAAAAAATATACTCCGTATTATGTTTAATTATCTTCTATTATATAATAAAATTGATCAAAAAAGTGTGTCACCATGAAATGCTATGTTCAAACTAATTTTTTTACAATTTCAACATCATTGACTGAATTTAATCTTTATATATAAAATTTGAGAGTTGAGCTTCTAGAATGACGATATTTGGCATGCTAACTGAATATTTTTTAAACACCTCAAGAGTCATTTCATCATTGACTTCTATGTACTTTTTTATGCATTTCCTTCAGCCTTTTTTTTAGAAATGACCTTTACTTCTTCGTGCAAAATCAGATTTTAATTTCTCTGTTTCTTCTTCTGCAAAATTGATTAGAAGAATTTATAGTTATTATTATTATAAATGCGTTACGTTCAAAAAAATATTCTTAAATACTAATTTTTATATTCTTGGTTAAAACTTAAGTACTAATGCTTTAAATATTAGTTTATATAAAGATTAATAATAATAATCTTATAATTAGTATTACTATTATTATTCATATTATGATTATTATTATTTTAATTGTTATTATTATTATAATTATTATCAATATCGTTTAGGGACCAACTTTTAATTGTCATGCTTTTATTTTTTGTGTATTCAAATTTTTAGTGGGTTTTATTTTTACATTTTAATGCACATAAAAAAAGAATTTTCGACCAAAGCTTTAATTTTCAAAAGGCTATCATGTATAAAAATTAAGGAATAAATTTATAACTCATGCGTAAACAACGTTTGATTAAAAGTTGCACTTCTCCATAAAATATATATTAATACACTACTTTGTTTATGATAGAAATTACATATACAGGACATCGTTATCGGCTATAACCTCACACAATTTAACCCATTTGAGAAAGAATATACTCTGTGATGTGATAAATGATAATTGTTTATTTTGAATTTAAAATTTAACATTTCCATTACATTTTTCCTAAAAACATTATCTATATAGTGCATTAATCTGGGAATAATTCTACACCCACTTCATCACGCTTTCAAGTGCATAAGAAAAAATAACTTCATTAATGAAAACAAAAAAAATAACTAAGATGCCAACTTAGCTTAATTAATTACATGTAAGCGTAGGAAAAGCTGATTAGGCTTAATGAGAGTAGTGACGTAAACCTATAATTTAATTGGGAGCACCAGAGTCTTTAATTAATTTTGGGAGTATTATTGTAAAATTTCGAATTTCCGAGAGTATTCATATCAATTTTTCCAAAAAAATATATCTCAAACTTTTACAAATATTTCTAATTAATATAATACTTTGACATGTTCGTTTTCAAATTTATATAGTAGAATTTTTATTAACAAATGTTATATGTTATATCATTCGTATAATACTAATGTCTATGTTTTATGTAATTCGATTCTTGAATAATACTATAGTAAAAAAATTTGCAGAATCAAAATAATAATCTGTTTCAACCCGTGCATCGCACGGGTCAAAATACTAGTAGTAATAATAATAATAATACTAACTATCGCTATATATATATATATATATATATATATGTATGTATGTATGTATGTATGTATGTATGTANATATATATGGAGTACTGCAGTGCACTGGTAATTACTTGGAAGCTGCGGCACCTGATTTGAGGTACAAAAATAGTTTGACCCAAAAATTTGTAACAAATGGAGCATTAGATATCTAAAAATACAAAATGTGATCTAGTTTATTTCTTAAATATCTAAATTTTATTTATGATATATAATAAATTAGACAAAAAATAAGGTACTTAAATATCTAAATGTTATTTATGATATATAATAAATTAGATAAAAAATAAGGTACGAACTAACACTTTTGCCACCATATAGCTCCACGCCTCCAGTGACTAATGTAATTTGGAAAATCCATGCCAGTATCTAAACCTGACAAAAAATGACCCGACTGTTTTTTACCTGAGACCCAATCTGAAAATACTGGGTTTTGGACAAAGGTTTTGCTGACCGAATCCGAAGTTGGCCGAAGCAGAAAATACCCGTTAATTATTGGTCAAACCCGACCGAACCCGTCAAAATCATATGCTTTAATATGTAATATAATGTTATAAAAATTAGATTTTAATTTAATTTCTTTGGTTTTTACTCATTTTTAATATGTAAATTTATATTTTCATACAAATTTTTAATCATATCGCATAATTATCTTACTTTTTTCAAATTTTTTTGCATATTTAGTTTTTTTATTCGTAATATTGATAGAGATAATCGGTAATAAAAATTACTCCCTCCGTCCCTGAAAACCTTTCCCCTTTCTTTTTTCATCCGTCCCTGAACCCGAAATGACCCGCTAAAAATGGATCAAACGCGACCGAACCCGACCTGACCAACCCGCTAAAGTAAGAGTTTTTCAAAATCATAAACTTTACTACTCATTTTTAATGTATAAATTTATATTTTTAGGCAAATTTTTAATGATATTGCATAATTATCTTACTTTTTTCTAAAACTTAAGCATTTTGCAAATTCCTTATACTGATTTATATATCGAAAAAAATCTTTAGGATCTAAAATAGAGTAATCTAATAGATTTAATACATTTTTTTTAATATTTTAAATTTATTTAATAGAAATTGTAAGTGTTAATGTGAATTTAAAAATTTTAAAAACCAAAGTCATAACCCGTTGGGTTGACCCGAACCCGATGACACTAGGTCATGAACATAAAGTTCTCAACTCGAAACCGAATAGATCCGACCTCAAAATAACCCGAATTCAAACCCGACTTGATCGACCGATTTGCCAGCTCTACCTAATACAGAGTAATAGGGTTGATCCAGTCCAGTCCACTCCAGCGCCGTGCCGTTTAATTTTGGTTGAGGTAGGATCATAGGTTCCCGGGTCCTGCGGAGCCAGGGCCGGCTCAAGCCAGGGGCAAGGTGGCCACCTGGACAGGGCCCAATTTTGGAGGGGGCCCCACTTTTTTCTTCTTTTGTATATATTCTATATATATTATATATATTTATAAAAAAAACAGGTTAAGACTATGAATTATAAATTTATAAGACTATGAATTTGACATTTTATTATTCTTATTACTATAATATTTTTTATTGTTAAAAAAATTTAATTGATAGACTTTATTTTATTATGACACAATGGCCCATTTTCTCCGTGACGTCCAGGGTCCCTGATTTCTCGGAGACGGCCCTGTGCGGAGCATTGTCATTTTCAAAATGGCTTTAAGGAATCTCTAGAAATTGGAATTGGAAGATGGATTATGCTATGTGTACCTCAAGATTTGTACCCCAATTTGTACCCCGCAGTTTTGCACCAACATTTTGTGTTGGTGTAAAACTAATTTTTCTTAAACGCACCAACATTTGTGTCTGTGTGAATTTTTATTAACGCACCAACACTTGTGTCGGTATAAACCATCGAAATGTTTGTGCAAACCTGTGGTGTACAAATGGGGTATATTTGTTGGTGTAAGTGTAGCATGGTCCTTGGAAGATATCATAAATGTTGAAATAAACTAAAGTGGAGAAGTAAGAAAAAATAAAAGGGAGTTAGAAAATGTTGGTAAAATTTAAGTCTTAATTAATACTCAATTAAGTGTAAGAAAATTTACTTTGGATAAAAATATTTATCTTTGTTCGTATTTGAGGTAGTATGTTACAAATTTAAACATATATGATGTTATTGTATATTCATCATATGTAAATATTCTTTTTAAGTCGTTGGAACAAATTGAAAGGATATAAATATTTTACAGGGTATTTGGTTGTATCTGTAAGCTAAAATCTTTAAATTTAAATATTAAAAACTATATAAAGAGTTTTACAAAACAAAATGTAACATGTGACATTATAGTATAGTAAAAAATGTACAAAAAAAAAAGAAATGATATATAGAGTGGGCCTACAAAAATTAGAAAAACAAATTGGAGAAATTTTTTGGAAGGTTCGTACTTTAAAAACGACGAGTATTTGGCGATAGAGAAAAAAAGGTGGGACAAATAGGACAGCATGTAATTAAGGAATGCGGACCAAATTAAGGAAGAAAGGCATTTGCCATATTATTAATAGCACCTCAATCC